TTTTTTTAAATTTCGGTGATTTTTCCTTACTGTAGTAAAAAAATAAAAACCCCAGTGGTGAATAAATACCACCAAAAGAAAGCTCTATCTGTCCCCAAAAAAGGGTATAAAATTCATTTCAGTACAGCGCTGCATGACGGAATAAATGTCAGTCAAAGTAACGCAGCGCTGAATACTGAAAAATGGCCTGGATGGGAAGGGGGTTTAACACCGCGGATGTCAACTGGTTAATATGCCTAGTCAGGGCAGTGTCAAGTGATGGAAATGTCCTAGCAGCACAGCATGACCTACAGTTGTGTGAAAAAGTGTTGGCCCCCTTCCTGATTTTTCATTGTTTCGCACGTTTGCCACACTTAAATGTTTCAGATCATCAAACAAATTTAATTAGTCAAAGATAACACAAGTAAACACAACATGCAGTTTTTAAAGGAAGGTTTTTATTATTAAGGGAAAACAAAATCCAAACCCACATGGCCCTGTGTAAAAAAAATGTAAAATATGGTAGTGGTAGTGTGATGGTCTGGGGCTGTTTTGCTGCTTCAGGACCTGGAAGGCTGTGATAAATGGAACCATGAATTCCGCTGTCTACTAATAAATCCTGAAGGATAATGTGCGGCCATCTGTTCATGTGCTCAAGCTGAAGGGAACTTGGGTTCTGCAGCAGGACAATTCACTCCACAATGGCACTTCCCAAAGTACTCCCTCAGGTGAACTGAGACCTCACCCCAAGCTAATCAGTTTTATATATTTATTACATTTACAACATTGGTTGTGGTGGTTTTTTTTAAAGAGGACTCAAATATTTAGAAATCGTAGAAATTTATTAAAGATCATTTAAAAAGATTTTTTGTTGATAATTTTAAAAGTTAAAAACAATGCTCATATATATAAACTTACAACAAAAAAAACCTGAGGAAGCCTACAAGTGAAACGCGTAGGGGACTAATCAAGTGATACGGCACTGCATACGAAAATTCATGAATTATGATTATGTACAATATGATATGAATTCTGTATAAAGTATCTATGAAATGTGTAAATAAGGAGTAACCTTAGGGACACAAGAACCATGCATATATATGAGCATTGTTTTTAACTTTTACAATTATCAACAAAAAATCTTTTTAAATGAACTTTAATACATTTCTACGATTTATAAATATTTGAGTCCTCTTTAAAAAACCCCACCACAACCAATGTTGTAAATGTATATAAAACTGCAGCAGGACAATGATCCAAAACACACCAGCAAGTCCACCTCTGAATGGCGGAAGAAAAACAAAATGAAGACTTTGGAATGGCCTAGTCAAAGTCCTGACCTGAATCCTATTGAGATGCTGTGGCATGACCATAAAAAGGCGGTTCATGCTCGAAAATCTTCCAATGTGGCTGAATTACAACAATTCTGCAAAGATGAGTGGACCAAAATTCCTGCACCGCGCTGTAACAGACTCATTGCAAGTTATCGCAAACGATTGATTGCAGTTCTTGCTGCTAAGGGTGGCCCAACCAGTTATTAGGTTTAAAGGGCAAACACTTTTTCACACAGGTCCATGTGGGTTTGGATTTTGTTTTCCCTTAATAATAAAAACCTTCCTTTAAAAACTGCATGTTGTGTTTACTTGTGTTATCTTGGACTAATATTTAAATTTGTTTGATGATCTAAAACATTAAAGTGTGTTTTTCTTTTTGGCACGGAGGCTGAGCAATCATTTATATGACAATAGAAGTTACTATTCTTTACATTGCTGAGAAATTTCCCTCCCCCCGGGTCCGTGGAAAAATGTTCTCCCACGAAACCCGGTCCATGGTGCCAAAATGTTTGGGTACCGCTGTACTACAGGATGTTTGCTTTTGAAATGCATGGTACAGTATAGACAGAGCTCCAACTCACCCAGCCCCATGCATAAATACCAACTGAGCAGTCAGGAGACAAAGCAGAACATCACACGGATACTTACTTCTGACCGTAATTAGTAAAAAAATAAAAACCCCAGTGGTGAATAAATACCACCAAAAGAAAGCTCTATCTGTCCCCAAAAAAGGGTATAAAATTCATTTCAGTACAGCGCTGCATGACGGAATAAATGTCAGTCAAAGTAACGCAGCGCTGAATACTGAAAAATGGCCTGGATGGGAAGGGGGTTTAACACCGCGGATGTCAACTGGTTAATATGCCTAGTCAGGGCAGTGTCAAGTGATGGAAATGTCCTAGCAGCACAGCATGACCTACAGTTGTGTGAAAAAGTGTTGGCCCCCTTCCTGATTTTTCATTGTTTCGCACGTTTGCCACACTTAAATGTTTCAGATCATCAAACAAATTTAATTAGTCAAAGATAACACAAGTAAACACAACATGCAGTTTTTAAAGGAAGGTTTTTATTATTAAGGGAAAACAAAATCCAAACCCACATGGCCCTGTGTAAAAAAAATGTAAAATATGGTAGTGGTAGTGTGATGGTCTGGGGCTGTTTTGCTGCTTCAGGACCTGGAAGGCTGTGATAAATGGAACCATGAATTCCGCTGTCTACTAATAAATCCTGAAGGATAATGTGCGGCCATCTGTTCATGTGCTCAAGCTGAAGGGAACTTGGGTTCTGCAGCAGGACAATTCACTCCACAATGGCACTTCCCAAAGTACTCCCTCAGGTGAACTGAGACCTCACCCCAAGCTAATCAGTTTTATATATTTATTACATTTACAACATTGGTTGTGGTGGTTTTTTTTAAAGAGGACTCAAATATTTAGAAATCGTAGAAATTTATTAAAGATCATTTAAAAAGATTTTTTGTTGATAATTTTAAAAGTTAAAAACAATGCTCATATATATAAACTTACAACAAAAAAAACCTGAGGAAGCCTACAAGTGAAACGCGTAGGGGACTAATCAAGTGATACGGCACTGCATACGAAAATTCATGAATTATGATTATGTACAATATGATATGAATTCTGTATAAAGTATCTATGAAATGTGTAAATAAGGAGTAACCTTAGGGACACAAGAACCATGCATATATATGAGCATTGTTTTTAACTTTTACAATTATCAACAAAAAATCTTTTTAAATGAACTTTAATACATTTCTACGATTTATAAATATTTGAGTCCTCTTTAAAAAACCCCACCACAACCAATGTTGTAAATGTATATAAAACTGCAGCAGGACAATGATCCAAAACACACCAGCAAGTCCACCTCTGAATGGCGGAAGAAAAACAAAATGAAGACTTTGGAATGGCCTAGTCAAAGTCCTGACCTGAATCCTATTGAGATGCTGTGGCATGACCATAAAAAGGCGGTTCATGCTCGAAAATCTTCCAATGTGGCTGAATTACAACAATTCTGCAAAGATGAGTGGACCAAAATTCCTGCACCGCGCTGTAACAGACTCATTGCAAGTTATCGCAAACGATTGATTGCAGTTCTTGCTGCTAAGGGTGGCCCAACCAGTTATTAGGTTTAAAGGGCAAACACTTTTTCACACAGGTCCATGTGGGTTTGGATTTTGTTTTCCCTTAATAATAAAAACCTTCCTTTAAAAACTGCATGTTGTGTTTACTTGTGTTATCTTGGACTAATATTTAAATTTGTTTGATGATCTAAAACATTAAAGTGTGTTTTTCTTTTTGGCACGGAGGCTGAGCAATCATTTATATGACAATAGAAGTTACTATTCTTTACATTGCTGAGAAATTTCCCTCCCCCCGGGTCCGTGGAAAAATGTTCTCCCACGAAACCCGGTCCATGGTGCCAAAATGTTTGGGTACCGCTGTACTACAGGATGTTTGCTTTTGAAATGCATGGTACAGTATAGACAGAGCTCCAACTCACCCAGCCCCATGCATAAATACCAACTGAGCAGTCAGGAGACAAAGCAGAACATCACACGGATACTTACTTCTGACCGTAAAGTTGCTTTCATACAGGCCTGGCAGATTGGCCCACTGCGGGAGAAGTTAAGGGGAACACGACGTGTCCGGTTCTGGCAGGTCTGTTCTTCACATACTAGCCAACCCTGAAAACAACCAAAAATGAAAATATTACCCTGAGGTTCAGTATTCATTAGGAATAAAATTTGAATATTATGAGCAATATTTTACACTAAACATGACCGGCAAATTTACTTCCTGCACCTACAGGAAATTTTATATTGTACATAGTGTCAGGAATGGAACAACTAGCTTCAAATTTCACAGAAAACAACAGCTGAAGCTAGCTGTGCAAACCTATTATATAATGTTGGGGGGTTTTAAGTAATTTTCAGGCCTAAAATGTGGAATATAACATGGGTACAAAAAATGAAAAAAAAAGCCTGTCATGAAGGGGTTAAAATATCATAAAAGGTTGTGCTAACCAAAGATCATGTTCATTAACCAGTTAAGCTCCACAGCCTTTTCTGTATTTAGGCTCTGGGTCTATTCGGCAATAACTGTCCTACTTACAGTGAGACATGTTTGTGGGACAAACCTGCCTTTTTTCAGTTAGTATTATTACAGATAGAGAATTCTATTTTTTTTTTTTTTTAGAAATCTCTCCTGTTGATCATAATGCTTAAATTAGGTTTCTGGTACAAAGTGTGACCAAGTAATTTACAAACTAATGTGTGACTTTAAAATGCACTTTTTTTTTAAATTTAATGCTACCTTGAGCTACAGAAATAACAAAAACAAACATTGCCCCATACCTAAACTAGAACATTGCCAGGCATGCTTACATTGGCCACCTTTTATGCACTTAGCTTGTTCTTTTTCTTCAAGCAACTCTTTCTGATACAGGCCTGACATTATGGAGCTGAATACAGTAAGAGAAGCTGAATGCACACAATACATTACTACTTTGGCCTGAGCTTGTGACAGTAACCAAAGAACAGGAAAGAGAACGACCCATGCAACAGTTTATATTTTCAAAGCTGCTTGGCATCCCTGGATTCATTAAACTAATTTGCTCACTTTGCTATACTGCTCAGCTGCCAGAAGCAAAGATAATATTCTGTATTTCTGGGTATGGTAGAACACATGTCTATCTGCTCTCTCTCATGTGACAGCACTGATATGTGAGGGTCAGGGGACAGTTTTTAGCCCTGTAAAAGTTGTGACTGGATTGAATCCAAGATTACATAGGGGGTTTAATTTCCTTTTGCCAAGTGGCTGGAATAGAGTGAAACAGTAGGAAAGGAGAGTCGGTGACGCTGGGAAAGGAGGGCATTTAAGTGGCAATAAACTCAGGAGTGAAACCCTAAAAATGCCTTCAAGTACCTTAACTATTATAACAAAATGTAGCTTATTTGTGTATCACTCAGCTATAGATCCTCAAATCATCTCTGAATTGGTGCTGACACTGTACTTCCAAGCGAGCTTGGAGTGGTGACTACTTTACAACACACTCAGGGATCATAGGGAACAACAGTAGCCACCCTCCAGAAGGAAGGACAGTGTCAACACCTATTCAGATATGATTTGAGGATCAAATGCCGAGTGATGCACAAAGATGATACATTTTGTTAATAGTTATGATACTTGAATGCATTTTAAGATTTAAATTCTGAGCTTAGTGTCACTTTAAAACAAACTGTATGGCCAAACAACAGGCTTCATTAAAAAGGTAAAATTCAAACAGAACTGTTAATTATGTCAGTATAACTGCTCATATTCTATATGAATAGTCTATATTCTAAAACGGTATCCTATCAGAAATTTCAAAGAAAAAAAAAAAGAAAAATTAGAACTAGATAACATTTATTAGACACAGACCAGGCAAGAAAATACAGAAAACCTACAGAGTGAGAAACAAAAAAAAAGGTACAGTAAACCGTGGTGGAGATTCAGAGGCAATACAAAGATGTGATACATGGGCAAAAATATTGCCACTGCACCTGTGTTCAAAACAAACAGCAACTATATCTCAGTAAATAGGCTGACACACTCATCATTTGTATGGAAGACATAATGTAATTTGTAGCCACTTCCTTACAGATATAATTACCATTAAAGAGATCTCTGTGTTTATCACACTTCTATTCAGTCCCTATTTAGGTATGTTTGCACTTCATATCTGGTAATCTCACTTCACAAATGGCAATAACTAGCATTATCATTAGTGGAAATTAAAATTAAATACAAGATGACATCATACGTTCTTCTATTTTACATACTGAAAATCAGCCCTGGTGATTTCATTTATTTTTGTTAAAATGCTATTAAAGTCAAAAGGTTTTAAGCAGTATCAAATGCTGATTAAATCACTCACAGTGGATTTTGCTCCTTGATGTTTAAGGCCTGGTTCACACCTAGGCATTTTTGAGCAGTTGGAAAAATCACTTTTAAACACCCAATCCAAGAAATCCCATGATTTTCAATGGTACCTGTTCACACCTGAGCAGCACAACGCCCAAAAAGGTAAATTAGCTTCTTTGGGCAGTTAACAGCGCGTTGTCCCCTCATTGACTTCAAGGGAACCAGCAGAAAACGCATGGCAGAAGCATGTTACACATTTTCATGCGTTTATCCATTGACCGCAATGTTTTCACATACAAATGTGGCAAACGCACAAATAACCGCACACTGAACCCGTGTGTACAAACACGCAAAAAAAAAAAAACTATGCTGCCTAGGTGTGAACCCCAACCTATAAGTTTCAGTTTTCTGCAGAATCAGCTGGTTCGCTGGGCACTGATACTGTTTTAGGGCGTCTCCTCCTCCTTGCATGGACGAATGGAGCCCTCCTTATGTGTACTAGCTTGTGTCTGTGAATAAAAAGGCCATCAGTCTAATAAGTGGCCGGCTGCTGGAGACTGCTCTGTCCCTCATGATCTTGTACTGGACAGGAAGTTCAGAGAAGCCAAATAGAAAGAGTTTGAGGCAGCTGTTCTGAGGCATGTTGCCTGTGATTGGTCAAAACGGTAAAGACATACTTTGCTAGGCAATAAGTCTTTTTTTGATAGGATTTATAAAAACAAAAGATTGAGACTTTAATACTACTTTAAAGTAGTGACTATCTCAATGCATCACAAATAAAAATATACCAAGGTTTGGTCAACAAAATACATTTTCGTTAAAAGGAACTTGGAGTAATATACTGTATAAGCCGCCATTGTCGTGAAGGTGTGGTCTTCCTGAGCCATCATTGTGATCTTTGTGTTCATGCAAGGTTGGCTGAACCTGTTCAACATAAATTCCAGCATATTTCTACTGAGTGAGCCACAGGTGGTGCGTACAACCACCCAAAGAAGTTAATGTCTAAAATATTATGCAGGCACTCTAATATAATATTAAAAAAACAAAAATACACACCAGCAAAGTCTTGTAAAGGCAGTGGAAACATTAAACCAAGAGCTGAAATACTCGGAAATGCATTTTCATCCAGTTGTATAATTCTATTCCAACTTAGAGCTACAAATGAAGTGTGGTGTATATTATATGAACATCTAAAAGCACGCTGGAATACCTGCCTAAAATCGTACTATTTTTCGGCGGGTTTGTAGCGTGCTCGGAAGACGAAAGCCGCACGGACCGGTGTGCGCAAGCACACACTGCCCGCTCAGCATTGCAATCATCGGCAAGCCCTCCCCTCAGCGGGGAGGGCTTGCAATAATCGCAAGTACGATCTGCCTGTCCAAGATGGGAAGGTCGTACAAAATTTTAATGACCTTACAACTAACCCACAACGAAAGTCGTGTGATGGTTGTAAGGTGTATGGCCAGCTTTACACTTGCACAAAGTGAAGGATTTTGTAGGATTAGAGTCAGGTGTATGATTAACCAAGCAGTTGATAATGATCATTCATTTCATAGGTAGGTTGAAACACAGTCATTAACTGGAACAAAAAACAGCTGTGTAGGAGGCTTAAAACTGGGTGAGGTACAGCCAAACTCTGCTACTAAGGTGAGGTTGTGGAAGACAGTTTCATGTCACAGGTAGTACACCATGGCAAGATTAAGCACAGCAACAAGGTAGTTATACCGCATCAGCAAGGTCTCTCCCAGGGGAAAGAGTAGCAGAAGCAGAGGGGGTTTCAAGATGTGCAGTTCAAGTTCTTTTGGAGAAGCACAAAGAAATGGGCAATGTTAAAAGGACTGTAGATGCAATTGTCAGCCAAGGAAACAATGCCACAGATGACACATCAAGCTTACTTATCTTCGACATCGTAAGATGTCCAGCAGTGCCATTGGCACGGAACTGGTGGAAACCAATGGGACCCAGGTACACCCATCTACTGTCCAGAAGGGGTCTTCATGGAAGAATTGCGGCCAAAGAGCCATACCTCCAACGTGGAAACAAGGTTAAGGGACTCAACTATGTACAAAAACATAGGAACTGGGGTGCAGAAAAATTCAGCAGGTGCTCTAGACTGATGAGTCAAAATTTTAAATATCTGAATGTAGCAGGAGTCAGTTCGTTTGCCAAAGGGCTGGAGAGCGGTACAATAATGAGTGTCTGCAGCAACAGTGAAGCATGGTGGAGGTTCCTTGCAAGTCTGGAGCTGCATTTCTGCTAATGGAGTTGGAGATTGTCAGGATCAATGGTGGGTTCAATTCTAATACAAGCAGATACTTATCCGTCATGCCATCGCAACAGGGAGGCGTGTGATTGCCCCCAAATTTATTCTGCAGGAGAATAACCCCAAACATACAACCAATGTAATTAAGAGCTATCTTCAGCGTAAAGAAGAACAAGGAGTCCTGGAAGTGATGGTTTGGCCCCCACAAAGCCATGATCTCCACATCGAGTGCAGGTGTACCTAGAAGTAGTAATGCCCTTTTTTTAGGCAAAGGGTGGTCACACTAAATATTGACTTGATTTGGATTTCTCTTTTCATTTACTTTCCATTTAATTGATTTAAAAAACGATTAACTTATTCCTGAAAGCATTTTAGTTTATAGCAATTTGTTGCTGATGTTTTTATAATTTTACACACCCATAGGTTCATTTTTTAGCTTATGATCTTCAAACTAAGTAAAATTTACAATGTTTTACACTAATGGAAAATGTTCATTTGGATGTGTATGCCCTAAGTAAT